GAGAAGTTTCTTCTGAGCTCTCCATTGGAGTTCTTGGGGACCATCTTATATTGATGGCCTCAAGTTATGCTATTCCCCACAGAGGAAATATCCTCTCTGTATCCACTCAAAACCTTTCAAAATTTTAAAACTTCTGTAAGTCCACCCCTCAGTCTTCTCTCCAAGCCCCACAAGCAAAGAGATCGAGCCTGTTAATCACTTGTCAGTCTCTCATTAAACTTCAAGACAGCAAAATGCATTTAGTTTTTACATTCTAAATTGATAAGGATCTGCACCTAATTGAAAATAATGTTCAGTTATTAAAAATGGATAAGTCTGTCAACACTGGAATAAGCAATTATACTTAGATTCAGGCATAAGGAGAGATTAAAACTGGAAATAGGGCTGTTTTTAGCACACTTCAGCATGCATCATCCAGACTCATCCAGCATTTTCTTTTCAGAAACCAGTTCAGATCCACTTGAAAAAGTTGCCATTTTATTTGTGTCTCATTGGAACAAAAGTAAATTATTTAGTTCCTTGACTGTTCTGTCATTCAATAACATCACAACTGATTCATGGTCTAACTCCATATACATACCTTTGCTCCAAATCCCTTAATAACTGTGATTAACAGAAATCTATCACTCTCAGATTTGAATCAAACAATTAATCCAGCATCAATCATTGTTTGTGGAAGAGTTCCAAACAAGTGTGCTTGTGCGTGTGTGTGTGTGTGTGTGTGTGTGTGTAAGTGTTTACTAATTCCACTTCCGAAATGTGTGGCTTTAATATTTAGACTACATTCCCTACTCTAAGGGTCCCCAGCCAGCAGAAATTGTTTCTCTCTATCTAACCTATCTGTTCCCCTTAATGCCTTGAAAACTTTAATCTAATCACTTCTTAACCTTCAAAATTTTGAGGAATTGGAGCCTGGTTTGTGTAGTTTTTGCTTGCAATTTAATCCTGGAGAGTCCAGATTCTGATAAATCTAAGCTGTGCTTCCTTGAAAGTCAATATTTCCTTCTAAGGTATAGTATCTAGAACTACTCTCAGTACATTAGGTGCAGTTTAATGACAGCTTTGTATAGCTGAGACATGATTTGTAATTCATTGTATTCTAGTCCACTGGATGCAGAAGTCAGTAATCTACTAGACTTTTTGATTATTTTCGGGACTTATTCTTGACAATGATATACCTATCTGAAACTTTAAAGTCTCTTATGACCTTTACTGTTTCTAGTTTATCATCGCTTATAAAGTGCCCTGTTTTTGGACCCATAATCTGTCAATACCTTTTTGTAACTTTACAATTCCATCTACACTGCTTGCAATACTGTCTATCTTTGTGTCATCAGCAAATATGGTGAAGCACGTTTCCATCCCATCATTTGTCACCACATTAAAGGCCTAGAGTTTAATAGAACAGAAACATAACCAGAAACATGCTGTGGCAGATTATGGAACAATAATTCCCAAAAAAAATCTTATTATTAATTGTAAAATAGTTGAACACTTACATGCTGCTGCTTTGACTTTATCCATTTCTCCCAACAGTGCCACTTCTCTGTCCATAAAACTGCAATGAAAGCGTGAGAGTTTTATTTGTTGGTTTCCACTCTTTTAAGAGTGATGCCCCATGAGGATGTAATGCTGAACCATGATTGATTTAAATCAGTTTCTGAATATTAGGAAAGGACTAAGGTCAGATTTTTAAACAATAACCTTTTAGGACTGTTATAAGATTTGGGATACCAATTAAGTTATTAAATTCCTTTTCTCCTTTGCAAGTAACCCGATATTACATTTTTCACTATGCTTAAAGTGGTTGCACGGATAATTAGGAATGAAAAGGTTGCTTTTTAAAAGAAGTTCTAACCTTGTTGTGTGAAGCAAAACTGAACTTTCATCTGTGTAGCTTTTGACATTGAAGTTAATGAGTTTCAGACAGGCAAAGTTTTAAATGATGACACGTAAGACAAGGTGTATAACATAGATCATCATAATTTGTGATCTAGAGTTTGGTCAATTTTGTGACGGTGCTTTCTTTTTAAAGAAAGGTCAGAAAGTTATTTGGAACAGTGACCTAAATACATTATTTCCAAAAGGCATGTGTCTTCAGTCATGTACCTGACAAGACACCTGTGGTATCAATGGATGGAATATTTATATCTGAGTTTCCAATTTAGAATCGGACCATCAGAATTGCAAAAGGTTCATTCCAGCAGACCTGGAGGGGAATTCTCAAACTGTCTCCATATTTCAGGGAAAAGAAACTGGGAAGAAGCAGTTAAATATAAATTTAAAGAGTTAGGATAGGAGTGATATATCACAGGAATTGAGTATCTGTGAAAAAAAAGAGTTGGGTTTAAACTTTCATACAATCATTTGTTTTGCTGTTTGTGTTAAGATTTAACTGTCTATATATATGTGGCTTTGTTTTATTTCTTCTGTGCAATGAATCTGCATTTGTTTGCTAAAGTACATCTACAGCCTTGTGTGAATATGTTTTGGTGACTAATCACTAAGTCAACCCAACTGCAAAAATTAAACATTTGATTTATCAAGCCAGATTTCCTTCCAGGGTCTGATTTATTCAGTATTACTATCAGCTGAAATCATCACATGCATACAACTGACATCTGTTTTCCCAGAGCTAAAAACATTAATAGAATGTAAGACCATTAATTGATAATACTGTAATTATGCCAAAAACCTTCATTTTACTTCAAAGGTTACAATATTTCAAGGGAAGCAGCAGTATTACTATTCAGAATATGGATGAACAGGCTAGGACCTTTTTATTTCCACTCGCATGCAGCCAAATCCCACTCCTCAAGCAACTTAAGCTAAGCACAATGATAAATATTATACATCCAACATTGTGATCATCACAGCTGAGTGGAGGGGAAAACTTGCAGGATAATGAAATAAATTTGTTTCAAATAAAAGAACCAAACAAATTCAATGTTAAAAAGCAGAAAACGATTTAAAATTTTCTCCTGTGGTTTGGAAGTGAGTTAGAGACACGGAGTGGAGCGGGTTAGAGACATGCAGCAGAGCGGGGACAATTGTTGGACTGGGTGCCAGCACAGGTGGTCAGCAGCTGGCGAGGCCAGTCAGACCAAGTGTGGAAGTCCCTGTACTGATCTACTGCAATGTAATTTTTATCTGTAACCTGTTTCTCTGACTGTAAGGTTTATCATTTAACTATCTTATTTTCTAACTTCTACTATGAATCACTGTTAGGTAATGTAACTTTTTCCTTCATTTCTTTGTACTTCAGATTTGTACCGAGGTATTTTGTACTTAAGGTGGCACCATGAGGGGCGACATTGTACACTTTTCACTGTACTTTTGTACTTGAGTACATGTGACAAAAGAACCTAATTCTGTTTTATTTTCTTTAAGAAAGTGACTTTTGTAAGCATCAAATTTAGCGTTGGGAAACAAAACATGTTGATTCCATTCCAAGCAGCCAACATGTCAATATGAAGCATGTTCAGCCCAGTACATTACAACAAAGTTAAATATCCTCACCTCTACTCCATGTCTCACGCATCTTCCAATGCAACACCATGACTTTTTCCATTTTTGAAACCAGCCTGCCTGTGGCCTCTCTGATTAAGATTGTTGGTTTCAAATTATGAACAGTTTAGTGAACTAGATTTATTATTTGAATTCATTTAACAAATGGCAAAAAATATTTCTCAATCCTTTAATTGTGCTATATCTGTGCCAGCTGGTAGTTATGTAGCAGGATACACCATAAAGTCTGGGCATTGCCAATGTCACTTGCAATTTGCTTTGCCAATGAGCAAAGTGGTGTTGACCAATGACCAAACTACTACGGTAATGCTTGGTTACAAACAAACAAAAAACTGCAGATGCTGGAGGATAGACAAACAGGAGGCTGGAAGAACTCAACAGGTCAGGCAGCATCTGGAGGAAAGGAGCAGTCAACGTTTTGGGTATTACCCTTATTCAGGGCTGGATGTCGGGGTAGGGACAGCTACAGATGGAGGGGGGAGCATAATGATGGTGACAGGTGGACGCTGATCGCCGAGCTGGCTTGTTTTCATTCAGACGTTTCGTCACCATGCTAGGTGACATCATCAGTAAAGCGATGTTATTCTACATTTTGGTAGGAGTAATAGTAAAAAGGATTATTACTTGAATGGTAAAAAGTTGCAGCATGCTGCTATGCAGAGGGGCCTGGGTGTCCTTGTGCATGAATCACAGAAGGTAGGTCTGCAGGTACAACAAGTAATTAGGAAGGCAAATGGAATTTTGTCCTTCATTGCTAAAGGGATTGAAATAAAAAGCAGAGAAGTTATGTTGCAGCTGTACAAGGTGCTGGTGAGGCCACACCTAGAGTACTGTGTGCAGTTTTGGTCTCCTTACTTGAGAAAGGATGTACTGGCACTGGAGGGGGTGCAAAGGAGGTTCACTAGGTTGATTCCGGAGTTGAGGGGGTTGGCTTATGAGGAGAGACTGAGTAGATTGGGATTATATTCATTGGAATTCAGAAGATTGAGGAGGCATCTTATAGAAACATATAAAATTATGAAGGGAATAGATAAGATAGAAGTAAAGAGGATGTTTCCACTAGCAGGTGAAGCTAGGACAAGAGGCATAGCCTCAAGATTAGAGGGAGCAGATTTAGGACTGAACTGAGAAGGAATTTCTTCACCCAGATGGTTGTTGATCCATGGAATTCCTTGCCCAGTGAAGTAGTTGACGCTACTTCAGTAAACGCTTTTTAAAAAAAAGGTAGATTTTTTTTTGAACAATAAAGAAATTAAGGGATACGGTGAGAATGCGGGTAAGTGGATCTGAGTCCACGAAAAGATCAGCCATGATCTTATTGAATGGCGGAGCAGGCTCGAAGGGCCAGACAGCCTACTCCTGCTCCTAGTTCTTGTGTTCTTGTGTGTACTCCACTTGGGATTTATACTGTTCGGTCCAAGTGGAGTACAACATCACTTTATCGGAGGCCTCACTGATGATGTCACCTAGCATGGTGACAAAACGTCTGAACGAAAACAAGCCAGCTCAATGAGCAAGTCAACAACCTCATCCACAACCTGAGCTACAGATCTTTACTAAAACTTTAAATAGATGGACACTGGTGGTAGGTACGACCTGGTTTGGTCGACAGGAGTGATGAATCCGGTTGGTGGCTGGAAGGGAGGGTCAGAAGGTGGAATGGAAGGGAGGAGGTGGGGCTGGAAAGGGAGCCGGGGGATGGGTGGGAAGGTTATTTGAAATTGGAGAACTCAATGTTCAGTCCTCTGGGCTGTAGGGTGCCCAGGCAGAAGATGTTGTTCTTCAAATCTGTGTTCCAAGTTGCTGCGACACTGGAGGAGACCGAGGACGGACATGTCAGAGGGCGAGTGAGGTGGGAGTTGAAATGGGCGGTGACAGGGTTAGGGTTAGGAAATAATTTTTCTTCTTGGGATGGGGAAACAGGAGAACAGGCTGAACTTTTGCCCATCTATCAGCATCAATCATGTATTGTGAAACCAGTGTTTATAATGTAGTAACAGGTTCCCTCCCTGGAACAATATTGTTAAGGCAATCGGGTTTTAGCCTTTGCTGGCTACTTTATTGAATTCAATTTCATAGATGTTGGGATTTAAACACAACTTGTAAGTTGTTAGTCTAACACCCAAACCGGTTAGCTACTATGCCTTCAAATCTTATGTACAACCCATGTTCTACCATTTAAAATTCCCTGATAGCTGCATAATAATTTTCTGTACAGACACAGTGCTTTTGCAAGGGTTGAGTTCACACACATGAAAAGAGTTTATACAAACAGATTTACTCTTTAACTGACCCAATGGCTATAAAGTGTAACGGAATCATTCCCAAAGACTTTTCATGCCTGGCATTTTTTCTAGAACAAATTGCCATCAGACCCAACTGACAACATCTTTTAGATTCTTATTAGGCTGCTTCATATCAACAATGACAAAATCTGCTGAATGTGGTGAAACACGCTGTGGACATCCATTGCAGAACCAACTGTGGTAAAAATGATAAAAGTTGTTTTTGTACTATTCTTAATGAGGGAATGACACTCTACCACAATACTCTATTCACTTACTATCAACAATGTGTTTTCACCACATTTAGCAGATTTTGCGAAAAAGATATAATGTCATCCACATGGGAAAATAAAATCTAGTATAATGCTAATGTTATCACAAAAAATAACATGGCATTAGAATTCCAGGATGTTCAAATGACAGCAACGCTCAAAAAAAAACTACAAAGATTTAGTTCATGTTCAATGCATGGAGAAGGAAAAAAAAGTGGCTACACAAAGATCCAAATTTTGAGATGGCATAGGAACAGGAGTATATCATTCAGCCCCTTGAGGCTGTTCCACCATTTAACAAGATCATGGCTGATCTGTGGCTTAACTCCATTTACCTGCCTTTGGTCCATATCCCTCAATGCCTTTGCTCAATGAAACTTTATTTCAGGTTTAAAGCTAACAACTGATCGAACATCAATTGCTGTTTCTGGAAGAAAGTTCCAAACATCTACCACCCTGTGTGTGTGGAAGTG